ACAATTAATTTCCAAACAGTGTAAAAGTGGCGTTTATTTTTCGGCCGTAATTTGATTTCAAGATGGAATTCCGACTTATGATATTGAATACTGCAAAAGGAGATTTCAATCATGCAATAACGTACATGTATCTTAAAACGCAATGATGATTTTCTCCTGTAAATTGATATAACATTAAGAAAAAAATCTATATCAAATGAAATTAGTCGAAGTTGTATTGAATCTTCAAGCCATTTAAGTATACTTTTATGCATTAAAAAGAGTAAACATAATATGTGCATCTCTTTGTAATATTTGTCTTGTTTCCTTTAATTGCTTGTAGGAATAACTTCATTTTATGCAAGCAAACGATGAAAACAAATTACTTTTTGTGGAAACAAAAATTGGAATCAAAGTTATGGAGAGATAATGTTACTGAATTTCTTATTGAAAGGGATGGCATTTCTTTGCAAGTTAAAATAGTCATTATTAGAATAAAGAGTAGCTACAAAACTATGGGTCTCTGTTTCAGAAAACAAGGACAGATACCTTATCTGTCCAAATTTTCTAAAGCAGAGACCTACATGCAGTTCTGCAGCTAAACGACCCAAACACGGACGTTAACGTTGGAATCGGAATTTTTTAAACCATAAAAGGGTGTTTAAGACCGTTGAAGGGCAAATAAAATATCAGGAATAGGAGTAAAATATGTTTTATAATAGGATACTATTCTTAATGCGGAGGATAGCATAAAATACAAGAAATAATACCCGAAGCCAGCGACAAAAAAAAATGGCGTAAATCGAAGGATTTTACAACACTTGGATCTGTAGCTCTCTACTTTATCTGTCCTGATTTTCTCAAATAGAGAGCTACAGTTCTGAAGCTAACTGTAAAAACATGATTTTTGAAATATTGTGTTATTTCTGTATGCTGAGTTTTTTTTCTAGATGTAATTTTGCAAATTTTAAAGATAAAGAATCTATGGATGAAATATGTGGAGATAACACTTTTGTTGATTTAATCCTCTGCAGGTTTGTGACCAGTCTTTGTTCTTTCACATTTAACTCATCATACCAGGTGGTACATGGCATGACCATGTTCTAAATAGAGTTTGGTGTGCTAGGCAGACCCCTATTCTTATTTGAGAAGCGGACAGGCTATCAACACAAAATATCATTGACTTTTTCACATAAATTATATATGAGCTCAGAAGTCATTTAAACAATACAAAATAGGAGCAGAGCAAATACGGACCTCCAAAACATCAGTGGTGGGATCAGGTGCCATGAAGGGGTAAGCACCCTTGCCGACCGTCACGCCCGCCGTGTGGTCTTTATTTTGCATTTATTCTCTGTCCATTTGTAAATTATTGTATCATTCTTTCTACTCAACAAGACGTAACACTTTGGGATTGTTGTGAAGCAAAAGGCCTAAGACCCCTTTTTTTCAATTTTTTTTTCACGTTTAAGTCATAAAACTAGTAGTTGAAAACAACCTTAAAAATACAAATTTTGGGAGATATTTGAAATAGCAAATTTTATTCAATAGACATGAAATTTTCTAAAAATAAGTTATAGTTTTCCTTTTGAGTTTTTCAGAATACAAATCTGATTTACACCTCTTCTATAATACTGGCATATGACCTAGTACAGGCTATCTGAAGTTTTCTCCTCCAACAGTTAAAAGCTTCTGGAGATTTGTAAATTATTGTATCATTCTTTCTACCCAACAAGACGTAACACTTTGGGATTGTTGTGAAGCAAAAGGCCTAAGACCCCTTTTTTCAAATTTCTTTCACGTTTAAGTCATAAAACTAGTAGTTGAAAACAACGTTAAAAATACAAATTTTGGGAGATATTTGAAAGACAGGCTTAGTGGAGAATTTCTGAATTCGGCTATATATGTTTGTATTTTTGTAAAGAGTAAATATATATCATTGGTAGCACTCCTTGCAAATAATTCAGCGATTTTTGATGCAGATTCCATATTTTTTAATCATCAAAAGATGGAAGAATGCTATCTTTTTCACCCTTTATCTTCTCTTTAGTGCCTTCTTCATTGATATTATATCTATTTTCCTGATGAGTTCGCGAGGATTATTATTTCTATAATGACTACTATATGCTTTAATGCAAGCCATATCTCGTGCATCTTTAAAAAAGCGCCGACAGTCTTCGTACTTTAATTGTCAGCTTACATCAGGAATGGCATTCGAAAAATATGTATTGATGAATGACATGTGAGAGAACAAATAACAATCACGAACAGCGAAACATGCAAAAAATGTTACTCTTATTGGCTATAGCTCTTCTCCGGTCCTAATCCCTATTAATTAATTGGTATATGAGATATTTGGAGATCACGAAAAAGCATTCAAGCTCAAAAGTCCATTAAACAATACAAGAAATAAGAGCAGAGCAAACACGAACCTCCAAAACACCTTGGTAGCAAATACATGTAAAACTTTAGCCACAGAACTGTAGCGACATGGTTTTATATATGAGTCTTTGACCATAACGTTACAGATTTCGTAATGCAAAAGAGGTGCAATTTACATGTTATGTGCAAGATTTTTTGCCTATTGTTGGGAGGAATTTCTCCACTTTCCATCATTGGTCAATCAACTTTAATTCATTCCCAAATTCAGGATACATTTTTAACCAACCTGTATATTCGTCTCTACAGTTCACTTAAATCGGTTGATTTGAATATTTTGGCAAACGGCAGAAAAATTAAATCAAGGGTAACATGTTATTGTAAGATGGAAAAAATTAGACTGATAGTAAGTTTCAAGTTTCCCTATGATTAGGTATTCAAAGAATTGATTTAAGCCAGGAAAAAAAAATAACATTAAAAACATAATTTGTAGGAAATAATTACATTCATATATAGAGTAGCCATATTTTCTTTAAAATGAGTCCTATAATTATAAGGATTGGTACTCAGCAGACAGGAAGACCAATGCCCATTTTTTAACAGTTGTTAATTACTAGTTCTTCAACGTTCTGGCATTTCTTTATCTTTTAAAATTATATGGGGAAAATTGCGCGAGCCAGTGATTAAGAAGTTTCTGTCGACACATAGAACATTTTGCAACAAGGAAACATATTTTAGTGAACTGATTAAATCATAGAGACGGATGCAGTCCCCCAAAATAACTAGAATCTGACTTCTCCAGCAATCAATAACGGGACACAGCTTGTTCTTTTTAACATTACAAAATATTGAATACATGCATTGTTACAACGCACTTTGAAAAATTACGCACTTTGAAAAAAATTTTCAAAGTGCGTTAAATTTGGGACCAAATCAACGCACTTTCAAAAAATAAATTTTCTTTTCAAAGTGCGTTAATATCGACCATATTATCGCACTTTGAAAAAATATGCATGGCTTGGTCAATGTTCTTGCAAATCTTGGGTATGATGAATAATTGAACCTGTTTGATAACTCTTTGGTGATGAGGTCACTTCAGGATGTGAAAGTGAGCGATTTTGATTTTTCCATACTTTGAAAATTCTATCTCTCTTAAATGTTTTACTTAAGTTTTGCAGTTTGCATGCATTTCATATGTAAACTAAAATTTATTGAAAGTTTTCAACGTCATACCAGTTATGCAAATACATACAATTGGGTGTAACATAAGCATTGGTACCGGGAAGGGGGGAGGGGGTTCTTAGGAACTCAAAAGTTTTGCAAAGATATACATGTATAAGCATTGAAAATCGGGGCTTGCCTTTGAGGGGGGTGTCCACTTTCAATTTGCTACTATGTACAATGTATATAAAAAAAAAAAAGAGTTGGACTGAGAGACCTTCTTCTCGCCTTCTCCTTGTTCCCAATGAGGTTAAATGAATACATGTAAATTAAAATGTTTTTCGAAAGATATACATGATATAATAAATAAAAGTTGATTCTCTCAATTACTAAAATCTAAGTATAGAGATTTTTGTTTTATACATATTTTTTTCAAAGTGCGTTATATGTCCCAATGTAAAAAAAATGTTTATGTACACTCTTAACGCACTTTGAAATATTTTTTCAAAGTGCGTTGAGTGTGTCCCAAATTTAACGCACTTTGAAAAAAAATGTTCGAAGTGCGTTGATTTTGTCCCAGTTTTAACGCACTTTGAAAAAAAATTTTCAATGTGCGTAATTTTTTCAAAGTGTGTTGCCACAATGCATACTCAAACTTCTCAGGACATAAGAATTGATCAGCCATTTTTCCTCTTGTGTAAGTTTCTGAACGCGGAGAATTCTGCTAAATATATATTTTTTTCAAGAACGATGAGAATTTTTAATTTTAATTTGAAATAATCCAAGCATCTCGACCTTGATGACATTTCATGGATTTTCCAGGGCTTCCTGTTTCATCTTCCTGAAGGAGTCTTTGAGATCGATCAATGTTCTATACTCACCTTTTACAAATATTGCACTTTATTTTGATTTGTTCCCTTACATGCATATTCTTTGTGCTAACGCCACTAAAAACATAAACATTTAGTTCCTCCTGTTCCTTAAAACGTGTCAAAGAAACGTTTTACTGAAAAAAAATCAATAATTATAAAAAAAGCAATAAAGTATTCAACATAGTAACAAATTTAAACTTAAGCTAATTATTCTGAAGAAGCAATAGTGTTTACTTTTTTTTTTTTTTTTTTTTTTTTGCAAATGCTCAAACTGTAATTAAGACACTGTAATTGTTTAAACGTGATGATAAAAATGGGCAGAACTGGAATAAAATTCTTCTGTGTTTTCCTAGACGTCAGAGTCGCTGCTAAACATAAAAACAACAGAATAAGCTCCATTACATTGGAATTTATGACACGCTGAAAAACGAAGCATTAAACATGATATCTGTTTCGTGCATGTTTTGCGACATCAATTTCAAAGACTTTAAACAAATAAAAAAGAAAACCCAAAGTCTATTAAAAACGTTAAAACTTCTGAAACAAGATGTTCTTTTCTCATTAAAGCAATATGTTGCTGTAGTGATATCGAGAATGCATTGAGCGAATTCAATGGAACTCCTCACGACCTGCAATTGAAAGGCTGTATAAATACAGAGAGTCGATCGACTAACGCTAGTTCTGGTCTAAATCTTTGCTCTTTCATTAAGTTACAAAGGAAGTTTTAGAAATAATTTTGGTAATTATACTGGGACTTTTCTTTTCAAACTTTTCTCAGAGGAACTATTTCTGATTTTTTAAAATCATGGCTTTCTTGAACAACACAACGCAAAACGAGTTTATCGGTGACACCAGTGAAACAGAAAGCCGTGTCTTGGTTGTGATATATATTTTAATTGGTTTATGTGGGTTGCTGGGAAACATCTTGGTTATCTACGTAATTTTAAAATCACCGAAGATGAGAACAGTGACTAATATGTACATCTTCAACTTGGCAATCTCGGATTTGATATTTCTATTGCATATCGCTATGATCACCACCACCACAATTGTTAAACATTGGGTGTTTGGAGAAGTTTTGTGTAAGATTTTCTTCACCACGCTTGCTATAACGTCATTTTCCAGCGTTTTGACATTGACGAGTTTAAGCGTGGACCGTTATATTGCTGTATGTAAACCGGATTTATCTCAGAAACATCGTCAGCCATTGAAAGCCGTATTCTTGATTGTCGTGATATGGACGCTATCATTACTTCTCTCCATGCCCATCATTTTGTTTTCAAGAAGAACGCCTCATCCATTCTTGGAAGGAAAGTTTTCCTGCTATGTAGATTGGGATGTAAAGGCTGTTCCGATTTATGTCATTTATATATTTGTTCTAGGATTTGCAGTTCCACTCTGTTTTATCTCCACATTTTATACATGTATTATTGTTCACGTAAAACGTGCTGGACCAGCCAATCGAAAGAAATCAAAGGAACAACGCAAAAATCACAGAAAAGTGACGTTCCTGGTGTTTGCCATCATTTTGTCCTATGTGATCTGCTGGTTACCTTACTGGATTTTTCAGATAGTACTTGTGGTGATGAGTTTGTACAACATTGTAACGATAGTAATACTCCATATATGTACAGTCTTAACATTTGTTAACAGTATGATTAATCCGTTTCTGTATGCATTTATCAGTAATGACTTCCGATACAGATTTAAGGAGGTCTTCAAGTTCCAGTGCACATCTTCGGAACAAGGGAGTAAGGCTAGCGCAGTTGCCCTTGATTCCTTGAGGAGACATGCTAGTAACCCGACTGAGGAGGTCATCAACTCGGTGCGACATGACAAACCTTTAATTGACAATAAAGACAGTGAAGGAATTTACACCGGTCCATGAGGACATCCATCTACAGGGTTGGTCAAAAATGTAAATCAGAGAAAAATCTATTCACGTAAATGTAACAATTGATGTTTTGTATAGTGTATATCATTGTGTTCTTTCTTGTAAGCTCTGTGATTTTGGTTTACATATTGTAAAAAAAAATATACGTAATTATGTCAACTTTTCTGTTGTTTTCTTGGTCCTCTTAAAGAGCTTGCTTTGAGTAAGAAAGAGTTTGAGAGCAAAAACAAGCTAATCACGGATAAGTTGATGATCCAGGGATTTCAAAGGCCTCATTTAAAGTCAGCGTATCGTAAATCGTATCGTTATAAACACATTGTCGTTAAATATATATTATCACTGAGTCGTATTTTAGCTGACTTGTTTCATACCTCAAAAAACGTTTGCTTTTAAACTGAATTTACTAGAAAGTTTCGCCTACCAGATCAACACCTAGGGCTCACGGTGATAATCACCGGTCAATGGGGAATGCTTCTACTTCTCCCAGCCTCCCGCCTGATTTCTCATATGAAATAACAATACACCTTTAGATCCCAGTAAATGAGAAATCAAGTGTCAAGTGTCAAGATATTGCTTATCATAGATCAGAATGAAATAGAAAGTTAAAATAAATTAGGGATATCACCATCTTCAATGGCAAAATATCTGAAAATTTTCCCATTATTTTTGAAGATAATTTGAATTTGCATATATTGTGTAAAATATCGATAACTTTCGTATTATCTTCGGAAGCCAGGAATCTTTGGTTTTTTATTCTTTTTATTATACACCCACTTATTTCCATGCAACATTGTGTGATATTACAGACTTTCTGATAAGAAACCAATCACCGCCTTGGTTTCCTGTTACCAAGGAGATCAAAGGGAACGTGAGTCAAAGATTTAATGTCTTATCGAGTGTCAGCTGATAAAGGGTTTGTAAAGTCTGAAAAAATTATACCATTGTCAAAAAAGCTACGACCTTTTTAAACCTGATAATTAATGAGAAACAGATCTGTACTGTTGAGAGAGCAATTCTTATGTGAAGGATTTCTGCGTACATGATACAATTTTCAGCATTTTTCCTAATTAAAAAATCACGACAAAAGACATTTATTTCAACCTTGCAAACAAAAATACATATCGGGGTCCAGTAAATGTTCTATTCAGACTCTTTTAACTCCTCACTAAGATATCAGAAGTAGTGAAACTCAAGGAATATCATGCAACATTATATTCGAGAAGTGGGGTAAATCAAAAGTGGATACTTAAAACTTCCTAGGAACTTTTGGAAAATTTAAAATAAAAGAATCACCAAAATACATTATAAAAACGTACAACTTTCAACTATATATACAACCGTTTCACGAGATAAATTTAAGCTTAGGCTTTTTGATATTATAGAAATGAAATACATGGAGAAAAACGCTTTCTGATTGTACACACAAGTACTATGAAGATGATATTAGATTAAAAGATACTTGCATTTCTGGTTGTCAAACCTGTGGGTATTTAAAGACCATGTCTTCAAACAATCTATTGGAAATCCCATTGGTATCGATGGCGACTCGTTATAATTATATACATGTGTAAGCAGATCTATTTTTTTGTATTCAAATTTGTTCAAAATCTTATACGTGAAAAGAAGAAAATACTTGCTGTGGTCTTCAACTCGATATTTAAATATTTCGACGACGTACTGTTAATTTTAATTATTGTTAACAATATTTATTTACATTTTTTGTCGATCGGTAAGCTTGAAATTAAAGAAATCCAAGAGTCTGAAACATCTATTTCATATTCAGATACCTTATAAAAACATAAATAGCAATATAGCAACTAAGCTCTATGATAAACGTGATGATTTTAACTTTTCCATCGTCAACTTCATTTACTTATCTAGCATATACCTTCATCACATGCATATGGGCTTTTTATCTCTCTAAGTTTATTCAATACGCGAGAATAATCTACATATGAACACTTTCTAAAACAAGGTACCCCTTCGACAAATAAGTTGATGAAACAAGAATATCAACAGTCTCGTTTAAAGTTATCATTTCGTAAGTTTTATGGCCGATAAGTGACCATGTCAGCAAATGCAAACTATCATTAAGTCAAATACTGACTAACGTTTTTCAGACAAATTGCCAGGCTGTTATTCAAAACTGAATTTTCGACAGATATTTCTGCTATTTTTCGATCATGACAAGGATCACACGGCAGCTGCGACTAGTCGACTGGGGATGCTCACTCCTCCATGGAATCTAATTCCACCGATGATGCTTTAGAGGCCATTGTTATCTATGCTTCATTATTCGTATTGTTTAAAGGATATTTGAACTTAGATACTGTTCGTATCTCCAAATATTTCATACATCAAATAAAACATGTTTTATAAGACTTTCACCTGAGTACAAATACTTTTGATATTGACCCAGGAGTTTGACTTTTTTTTATAATACCGGTACTTTAACGTGGGATATGACTTTGGCATGGTTAAAGCTAAGGCCTTTATATTTTGCATTTGCACCTTTCAACGAGTACAAACAATTTTAAACTCTCGACCTAAGAGTTTGTCCCAATTTTAAATAACTTCGTTTCGACAATATTTTGAACATAATTTCTGAAAGCTGAACACGAACCGTAAAAAGAATATGTCCGCCATTTTTTTTATCGTATTCTCGCTGACGTATTCACAATTCGAATTCAATGTAATCATTCGTTACCGATGTAGACGAACGTATGCTATACCGCACACGGGAGACACAAAAAACCTGTATACTTCTTATGCAGGAATGTAAGATACCAAAGAAACTTACAATGGATGCACAGGTCAGTGCAGTATACAAACAAACTCAGATACAGGTAACTGCCAAACAAAAATGTAAGCAAAGGTAATGCAAAATAATCGCAACGAACAAGCGCGTTGCGATTCGATGCCGATACCCAAAATAATAAGGCAGTTAGATGTAACAAAAGCGAGGAGGATACCCTGGTGCTGATATCTTAGATATTAATGTCGAAATGTACGAGTCGTGTTTAGCTTAAGGTAGGTTTCTTCTGTGGTTTCTGACTAGATGAGATGTTCAAAGTACATTTGCTTATATGTCTTATATATTTAGGTGTTAGAGATTTAAAAGACCATATTTTTCATTCCTCATCACAATTGTACAACTTGAAATAGAAATGATAAACCGCTTTTGAAAACTAGCAGGGACTATATTTTTGGCGGAATGGAGGCGTATGAATCTTCTTTTCTGCCTCTCAAAATTATTATAGAATAATAATTTTAGTTATAATTTTTACACAATCAAAAACTTGAAGAAATTTTCAAATGTAAGTTTAATTAATTTTTAAGGGACTAAAGTTCCTAAATATATCAAATAAATACGATTTTTTCAAACAAACTAGGACTATGTAAGCTTTTATAATTAAGTTTCCAATCTGAGTACAGATTTGAGCCAAAAATCAGTAAAAAGCATTTTTTCTCTCTTCGTAAACGATCAAAACTTTTTGTTTTTGTATCATTTTGTATCTTTATATGACAACTTTTTCATATGTGAAAATAAGAACAATCTGAATATAGGAAGCATATAAAAATAACTAATATATCACCACTTATACGAGCCTTGACTCGGATACGTGAGTTTATTTCAGTAACCCTATGTCCATCCATTCCAGATATCTTAAGTCCTTTCAGATATGTAATTATATGCATCCTTAGTCACAACCTATCATTCCGGATAATTTAAGTCCATTTGCATATAGTCTAATATTTAGTTGTTTACCTCCTTTTCCTTTCTCGATGAATCGATTAAACGGTAAGCTCATGGAAAATTTTATGAAGTTGAATTGTGGCAATGTTTTAATTTTTGAAATGAGATAAGTTTGATTTCAAAGGTTACTATTATTAAGGTTTGTAATTTCAAGCCAAATTAGACGCGCCGATGTATGTAATTTTACTTTGGATTTGGCCCGATTGAATTTTTGTTGAGATCAAACGTCAAATGTATTGGTTGAATTTAAACAATATGGTATAATTTGAGTTATAGATAACAGGAATAATTAAACATATGGGAGGAAATGGA